ACAGTGGACAGAACCCTCTCTACCAAACTGAGTGACAGTGGACAGAACCCTCTCTACCAAACCGAGTGATCCTGACTGGTAAAAAATGCCATCTACCTCCGCTGGAGTCTGGACGGTAGCTGGAGGTCTAGTTCTTGGCAGAAAAGGGGACTACTAATATTCTCTTTCACTAATTATTTCTTTTTGACATACACAAAGGAAGAAAAATCAATTTGAATAATTTCTCATCTTAAGAACATTTCTATTCATGAGAGCAATATGCAAAATAAAATAAAGAAAGGCGGTTTTCCTCCAATAGAGAAATAACTAGAATACAAAGAAAATGGCTTTAGAACACCAAGTACATACCTCTAACAGGTAAGGTTTCCCCTCTGACAAAAACAATAAGGCTTCCACTTCCTCGTGCAGGGGCAGCAGAGGGCTGGAGGGAGCAATGCTAACAGGTGGTCGTTGTTTAAACATGCCAGGAGCTTTAGGAGATTAAAGAAGCAAAGCACAAAAGAAAACCTGTCTCACTTGGTGTCATTCCACAGAACAGACATAAGAGACACTCTCAGGATTCACATTCAATTGCTGAGTGCTGACAAGACAATCCCTAAGGTCTAGAGGGGAAGGCAGCCATGCAGATAAGTTTGCTGTTTCCTACACTAGCTGTAGATGCCTAGGAATTCCACCCAGGATAATCTTTCAGAGGGGTAAAAGGTATACAGGAGACACAGTGGGTGAAACAACTTCTGTTCCTCCAACGACTGTCCTCAAACAATGCCCACCACTGTCTACGCTAAGTAGAATCGACCCATACAGAAGGGGCTCCTCATGTGCTAGAAAAACAAGGATGCACATTCTAATTTTCTTTTATAAAGTAGTCTAAACTCTTTTTAGATGAATGAATCAGCATTTAGTAAGCAAACCGTACTTACAACCACACCCTTGGGTTCCTCCGACAGTACCATTTCTCTCTCAGAACCACGGTCTGTGGTGCTCACTGCAGTCCCTCCCAGCCAGAGGACACACGTGCACCCCCGCAGCCTGGGTCAGAGCGCACCTTCCCCTCCTGGCTGCTCTCCCACTAGCGGGGAGACCTGTGCAGGCCTGCACCTGTCTGTACTTAGCTCCCTCTCCTATAGGGGTGACACCCCTCACAGGTCTGTTGTGGGGACGAAACACAACCAACAGAAAACACTGCAGGCATTTCAGCTGCTTTGTGAATTACTGTTGTGCTGTCAGGACAAGGCCTTAGGAAGGGTATACAACAGTACACACACAAAGCTGAGGACACTGGATAATCAGAGGACAACTTGTGCCTTTGCTGTATTAAACGATGACTGTGCTATAGTTGGTGGTATTTCCTGTATACCTTTTGTTCAAATATACTTACATCTGAATCCCCTTTGGTTTTATAAAGTACTTGAACATTTTATCTCACTAACTCTTATCATACCTGGGGAATTATGTTTTTAATATTTTATTTTATATTGAAGATCAGAAAGGTCAGTGGCTTGCTCAAAATTTATGCAGACAGACTCCCACCCACACCTTGGCTATTTTTCCCACTATATAAGTTGTTTGAATTTTAATAATAAATGAACTCTGAATTAGTTTTTAATGCTAGTGTTTAAAAAAAAAACAATTCATATCCTCCCATCTCCTCAAAGAAATGATTGGCTTACTTTCTCTTATGACAACCTAATAAAAGGTGAAGTTTAACATGAACTAAACAGAAATTTTAGGTGCTCTCAATTATAAAGTAGCCAAATGAGAAACAAGTAATACCCATTTAGTTGCTAACATTATAACTCTCCATGCTTGGCAAAATCAAGCTCTTCATGTTTCTCCCGGACGTAAGGGGCGCTGAAGCTTACCAACGTTCCTTTGGGAAGAGACATCTGAATGCAAAACAAGTAATGCCACTGTATTGTGGAGATTCCCAAATTCTCGTGCTTGCGCTGAACTCCATCGACGTATCTGTCATTGGAGAAGACAAAGTGGAGGTTAGGACCCTGACGCAAACTGGGAGAAGACCTGCTGGTTCACGGTACTCTGGGGCTCGATGATTTCTCAATGCTGCTAGCAGAAGAGGTCAAAGTACCAAAAGGTCACAGGATTTAAGCAAGTTCAAAGGGCTTCCCTTAGACACAGTCGCTCGGATTCTGAAACAGATCTATTATTCATGTTTTCACCTTAGGTCCTGGGCACTTAGGACACGCCAGGTGTCTTCCTGGGCCTCTGTGTACTGGGAGAATCCCTGAGGCTGGAGGTCTGGAGGAGCGGCCCTGCCTCTGCCACTGGCTGAGCGGTCCAAGTGAGGGCAGGCTGTCTGCCAGAACGCTGCCTGGCCGAGATAACATTATTCTGTCTACTTCAGGATTTTGAGGAATAAAATCTTAAAACTAAAAATGTTTTTAAAAGTAAAAACGTGCTCTATAAATGCAACATAGTATTGACTGTATGTGCAGCTAAACCAGAGGAAATTTAAGTCACCAGCGTCAGTGGAGTCCCGTGTTAGCTTTGTGACCTTCAACAAGTTACATAACATCTCTGTGTTTTAATTCTTGCCTGAGAATAGGGATAGCACTGCCTAATTTTTACTGAATTGTGAGCTATCAACTATACCCTCATGAAGTGACCGGCTGTACCTGGCACTAACAAGCTCTCCATTCACGGTATTGATCACCGCTCCCTGTTAACACTTTATGGATATGAAGTTTGTCAAACAAAAGAAATTTAACAAGTGGGGGAGAACATCAATGTAGGAACTTCAAACAGGAGAGTCGCGTTTGTATAGCCGACCCTATTACTACAGAGTAACTTCCTTTTCATTTGAATACCGGAATCACACCTGCGGCGTCCCTCAGTTGTACGGTCCAGCTCCACACTCCACATCTGGCTGTTTTATCAGTACCTGACTTAAAACAACCAGCCAATAGCAAACTAGCCTTGTTCACAGCCGCTGAGAGGAAGCAGAGGACCCCAAGACCACCTATTCCTTGAATGCTTGTTTACTGTCCCCTCCTGGGACACTCACACTTCACATTCTGGTTGATATTCTAGGTAGTCATTTCCATGGGTCATGACACTAAATTCTATGAAAAAGCTATAAAAATAACTGAATTCCAAAGAATTTTAAAGTCTCTGTAGCACTAGTACCTGGACTCCTAAGAAATTAAAAATATTTATCACCTACAAAGAGACACAAAGTAGCTACAAACCCCACAACCCCCCAACCAGGAACATCAGAGTGAGCCCCTTACCTGGTTGTTCTGCCGACTGGCCCCCAGGAGAAAGCTGATCATGTGCCGCAGAGCTGAGTGCCTCAGGAGAAGGTCCCCAGCCCTGATACCTTGCTGTCACAAGATATCGAGAATGACAAATTATACTCCTGCCCAGGTAAAAATGTGTTTTACAAACACAGCTAAACACCAAGTTTCAAGGGGTCACCGCATTTTTAAATGCTATAATGCACATACAGAAAGCACTTGTTAAAATCTAACTAAGAAGCTCTTGACCCTCACATTGATTCACAATGGCTGCTGAGCAACAGACGCTGCTTTTCATGAAGGCTGCTGCTGCTATCAAGGAGAACTGGACCTGTGTGCATCGGAATTCTTGCAAGTAATACAAGTCACAGGTTTAAGCTCAGAAGACCATACCATATCATCTATAAGTTTTTCCTGCACAGAATTTCTTTGGACAATAATATACATGCTGTATTAGGAAAAGATATTAGAAAAAAAAAATCACTTACCTTTTGTACAAAAGTGTTGAACAGGAAAAAGTACTGAGCACAGTTTTTACAATTTTCTGGGACATCTTTATCCAACAAAGCCAGTAGTACCTCCAGTAACTGATGAAGGCTTTTTAACTGGTTAGAGAAAAGATAAAATTACATAAAGAAAAAGAATACAAGATAGACATTTGTAACAGGATTAATTTGAAGTAAACCACCATAAGAACAAAGGAAAATCTGGCTGATACAATTCAGTCTCAAGATTCGGATGGATTTATGCTTTGGAGAGCAAAACCAGAACCCTCAGTTTTACCTTCCCGGGAGACTGGTCCTGGCAGAAATAACTCAAAGGAAAGTCTACAGTTTCCTAGATTTTAGAGCCAAAGGCATGATGCTACTAACAGTCACGTTTCCTGCAGAGCCCACTTCTGTCTTGTAAGAGAAAAGGCGGGGTGTCCGAGGAGACAGGGTCTGAGTCCCGCCCTCCACTAGGCTGCTGCTTCACATAATCACAGATGCAAAGAATAAAAACACAGACACAGGCATAGGGGCTGGAAACCAAGCCGATGAGCAAATGGAGAGCAACAGCCTGACAGAAGGACAACGGTGATACCCACTCAACTGTGACTTACTTGAGAGCCCGCGGATGCCTCATGGAAAGCTTTGAAAAACATTTTATTTGTTTAGAAACCATTTTGGTTATGACATTGCTTCTGCTTTCCCTCCCACCCCAACTGGTTTTGGACAAGTCCCTAGAAATTCATCTGTAATTTGAGAATTAAGACCAGGCTCACTATTCTTAGTAGGTCATTTCCTCTGAAGCTAGTATTCATAGACTTTTGAAATATTCCCATCCATCCTGTCACACCCATTGTAATAAATACAGTAGAACTTAGCATTTACATAGCACTTCATGTTGAAAGTACTTTACAGTACAGGGGAGTGGCGAGAGGCACCATTTCCATTATGGAGGAAAAATAGACATGAAAACACAGCAGCTGGAGACCAGATAGATGCTGAGGTAAACGGCTCCCACACTTCCGTCCTCCACTCCTATCCTTCTCTGCCACCTGCTGTCCTGCCTCAGAGGCTGGAGGGGTGATGTGCCTGACCCCATCTGTACAGGGACTGCACCAATCCTGCCTTTATTCATTGTTTGAGTCGGTACATGGGAAGGAGGAGGAGAGTGAGATGGTCCTTGTGGATTCTTGATGCATAATAGAAAATTTCTACCGAGTGGAGCAGTGCTATTTACACTGTCCTAGGCAGCTCCCAGAGACCTACTGTGTAGATTCTGAATCCAGGATAGTTTTGCTTAAAAAATGGCTATGCTATTTAAACTGATTGAAAACCACTGTCTTAGGGTAAACTTCAACTTCCTAATAATTCCTGTAACTGAGAGTCTTTTTCTAGGTCTTCCCAAAGGGCGTATCGGACCACTCTGTTTAAGGAACAAAGTGTTTGGGTGTCAGGTACTGCAGCTGGACCAACATCCTCCTCGAAGGACCTGTTCAAGGGTGTACAGCAAAGCCAACACCTGAATTTGAAGCAATTCCTAAAATTTGCATTTAGTTCACTGAGATACAATGCTTTCAGCCAATGTTCATAAGGCGCCAATTCATTCTGAAAAAAACATTTTTCAAAGTTTTCCATGTAGTGTCAGCTGTTTGAAACAGCAAACTTGGGAAGAAATTACTATATTTGCTAATTACTGACAGATTGGATTATCAGATTTACGATCTATGCCACTTATTTCCCTAAGACTCAGAATCTTTGGGGATTGAGGGTAGTAATAAACACCAAGGTTTGGTTTATCACGTACATATGTGGAGCTGTGAACCAGAAAATACATTGTAGAAAATAAAGCTAAGGAGAAATTCAGAGAAACAAAGATTAAGAAATAACGGAGACCCATGAAGGGATCATTCCATTTTTGGCCAATGTCCTGGGTGTCCCTGGAAGGAGAGCACTGGGTGTCCCCGGGTGGAGGGCAGTGGGTGTCCCCAGATGGAGGACACTGGGCATGGGGTGTCACTGCGGGGAGGGCACTGGGTCTCCCGGGGGGAGGGCACTGGGTGTCCCCGGGTGGAGGGCACTGGGTCTCCCAGGGGGAGGGCACTGGGTGTCCCCGGGTGGAGGGCACTAGGTACTGGGTATCCCTGGGGGGAGGGCACTGGGTCTCTGGGGGGAGGGCACTGGGTGTCCCCGGGTGGAGGGCACTAGGCACTGGGTATCCCCGGGGGGAGGGCACTGGGTGTCCCCAGGTGGAGAGCACTAGGCACTGGGTGTCCCCGGGGGGAGGGCACTGGGTCTCTGGGGGGAGGGCACTGGGTGTCCCCAGGTGGAGGGCACTAGGCACTGGGTGTCCCCGTGGGGAGGGCACTCTTTGGTGTGGTTGCCAACTGCAGTTATAGATCATGAGGAAAGAGACAAAGCCAGAGTGGCTCAAGATGTCTGCTGGTCTAGACTAGCGTCTCTAGACTCATGTTGGGCTCAGTATAGACAGATGTAATACAAATTCTTGAGAGAGGACTCTGAAAATGGAGTGCACTAGAGAGAAAATCCTGAAGCAGACCAAAGCAGACCCAAATTCCTGGACCCTATCCTGGTTTGGGG